TGGACACCATGACGAAGGCCGGCAGGATCGAAGAGGCCGTGGAGGAGATGCTGGTTTTGGAGAAGAAGACCCGCACCTCTTCGGATGGCATCTCCACCTCGAAGCTCTTGTCGAAGATCGTGCAGGTCTATTGGGACAAGAAGGACTGGCCGAAGCTTCACGAGCACATCGTGATGTTGGCGAAGAAGCGCGGACAGCTGAAGCGGGCGATCACGGACATGGTACATCTCGCCATGGGATGGCTTGAGGGGCTGGACAAGGAGAAGAAGCTCGAGTTGATCGCCACGCTCAATGAAGTCACCGATGGCAAGATCTTCGTCGAGGTGGAGAAAGCGAAGCTGACGCAGATGCAGGCGGAGATAAAAGAGGCCGAGGGCAACATCGAGGAGGCCGCCAACCTCCTGCAGGAGGTCCAGGTCGAGGCATTCGGTGCCATGGAGCGGAGAGAGAAGACCGAGTACATCTTGAACCAGATGCGGCTGGTGTTGCTGAAGAAGGATTTCGTTAGGACCCAGATCATCAGCAGAAAGATCAACCCCAAGCTTCTCGACGCGGACGACTTTCAGGACCTGAAGATCCGGTACAACGAGTACATGGTCAAGTATTGGCTTCACGAGAAGGATATGATGAACGTCTGCAAGTGCTACCTTGCGATCTTCAACACGGCGACTGTGAAAGCAGACGAGGCGAAGTGGACTGCGGCGCTGACTGCACACACGCTTTATCTGACTCTGGCCAAATATGACAACGAGCAGGACGACATGCTCAACAAGCTGGACACGTTCGAGAAGAAGAAGCTGGACAAGGTCCCAGCGTTCAAGCAGATCATCAAGATCTTCCTCAAGAAAGAGGTTGTGGCGTGGCCCCTGGAGCAGGAGGCCGAGCTGAAGGCGCATCCAGTCTTCCAGGAGTCCCCACACGAGGGCGCGGATAAGCGCTGGGAGTTGCTCCGGAAGCGCGTCGTGCAGCACAATATCAAGGTCATCACCGAGTATTACGAGCAGATCCACATGAAGCGTCTCTGCGAACTCATAGGCCTGACCGAACAGGAGGCCGAGGCCGAGCTCTCCGAACTGGTGTGCTCGAAGTTTGTCCACGCGAAGATGGATAGGCCAGCCGGCACGATCAAATTCGGGCAGAAGCAGACGTACACGGACCGCCTCAACGATTGGTCGGGCAGCATCTCGAAGATGCTCGATCTCGTGGAGAACTCCTGCCACCTCATACAGAAGGATCGGGGCCTCCCTCGCCCCGTGGGGCGGTGCAGGTGGGGGGGGGGGTGCAGGCAGGCGCCAGCCGGGGACAGGGAGCGGGGAACGCCACGGGGTCCCCTGAGATCCGACGCCGCGAACAAGTAGCAACACCGTGACAATCCGCGCCTGGAGCCCCAGAGCCCATCTTTCGGCGTCATTCTCCGAGCGGGATCGATCTGTGAGGGCCCCAGGGCCCGACAAAAAAGGCGAAGCCGCGCGGCTCGAAAAAAGCGAGTCGCCAGGATCTCAGGGCCCGCAGCGGAGTGACGGGGAGTGCCCTTCCGCGGTGGAAGTCCAGTCCGTTTCCCCTCTGCCGCTCTGGCACTCGCAGGAAGCCGCTTCCCGCACCTGCAGCGGCCGCGGCCGGGCCGAGCCTGGGCCCGCGCTCGGGGTCTGTGCCCAACTTCGGGGGCGGACAGAACCCCCAACAGTGACACGTCGATTAGTGAATTGTCCGTTTTCGGTTCTCGAGATGGCGCCGCGGCCGTTATTTTCCAGGTTTGCGCCCGCCAGGTTTGGGCCTCAGGTCGTTTTCACTAAACCACGTTTTACTAAAGGGGGTTCTGTCCATCCCCGACAACTCGCCCAGCCAGGAGGACGGACACACCCAGAGATCCGACGTGTTGAAAGAATCAAAGCGGAGGATTTTTTTTTTTGCGATTTTCGGTCTCCAGGGGCCCTCGCCGGGCCCCGGGACCGTCCAGAAACGAGGCTCAGGATAAAGAACCGGTGCTGGGGCATGGGTCGAGACTTCCGGGGACCCCGCATGGACAAATCACGACGTCGGATCTCTGGGCACCGCCGAACGCAGGCCGCGGCGTTTCATTGATACTCCAGGCCTCTTCCCAGGCTGGTCGGTCGGGTCTGTGGCGTTGCGGTCTGGTCGGGCCGGTCCGGGTCGGTCGGTCTGCAAGTCTGCTGGCGTCGCTGGCCGAGGCTGGTCGTGCCCGTGCGCGGCGAGCCCCGCGGGGCGTCCCAGAAAGCGACGCTCGCCGAGCTGGGCCGCGGCCCAGGCCCCCTGAGATCCGAAGTATAGCGAACAAAAAACGCAACACCGTGAAAAGCCGCGCCCGGAGCACAAGAGCCAATCTTGCTGCGCCACCTTTCGAGCCGGACCGATCTGTGAGGGTCCCAGGACCTGTAGGAGGGCGAAGGCGCCCGGCTCGGAAAAAGGGAGTCGCCAGGGTAACAGGGAAGAGCGTTCGCCGAACTGGGCTGCGGCAGTGTCAGGCCGGCCGCTTCTGCCGCGCAGCGGCGCCGGGCCGGTCGGTCGGTCGGTCGTCGGGCTGGCCTCGAGGCTCGAGGCTCTCCTCCCAGCCCGAAGTTTTCTTTCGCACAGGGCCTCGCTCCTCCTCCCCAGACATCCCCAGACCCCAGAAATCCAACGCATTGAAATTACCCTGCGACGTACCCAACCCACGTGCATCAAGTGGCAAGAGGAGTAGGCCAACATTAGCAGGAACAACGATAATGTAGGCGATGTGAATTGCTGTGCAAACTACATGGGATGCGCACGCATTGCACGGCTCACAGGACGACGATCGAAAGAACGAGGATTAAAGCCCCAGGCTCGCGTATGACGTCACTCCGCTGGGCCACCCAGCAGCCCTCGAAAGTGGTGACAGTTTCGCAGATCGCAGCCCCCCAAGGATGGCGAGGTCTAATCTGAATCCGAATATGTCCCCACTCCGCTGGGCCCTCCAGCAGCCCTCGAAAGTGGCGACAGTTTCGCAGATCGCAGCCCTTCGGGGATGGCGAAGTCTAGCCTGAGTCTGCGTAGGACCCACTCCGCTGACCCCCCAGCAGCCATCGAAAGTGGCGACGGTTTCGCAAATCGCAGTCCCCCAGGAATGGCGAGGTCGAATCTGAGTACCCCACTCCGCTGCCCCCCCCAGCAGCCCTCGAAACTGGCGACAATTTCGCAAATCGCAGCCCCCCCCAGCGATGGCGAGGTCTAATCTGAGTCCCCGTGGGGGCTCACTCCGCTGGTCACCCCAGCAGCCCTCGGAAGTGGCGACAATTTCGCAGATCGCAGCCCCCCAGAGATGGCGAGGTCTAATCTGAGTCCCCGTGGGGCCTCACTCCGCTGGGCCCCCCAGCAGCCCTCGAAAGTGGCGACGGTTTCACATCACAGATCGCAGTCCCCCAGGAATGGCGAGATCTAATCTGAGTCCCCGTGGTGCCTCACTCCGCTGGGCCTCCCAGCAGCCCTCGAAAGTGGTGACAGTTTCACAGATCGCAGCCCCCCCAGGGATGGCGAGGTCTAATCTGAGTCCCCGTCCCCGTGGGGCCTCACTCCGCTGGACCCACCAGCAGCCCTCGAAAGTGGCGACAGTTTCACAGATCGCAGCCCCCACAGATGGCGAGGTCTAATCTGAATCCCCGTGGTGCCTCACTCCGCTGGACCCACCAGCAGCCCTCGAAAGTGGCGACAGTTTCACAGATCGCAGCCCCCCAGAGATGGCGAGGTCTAATCTGAGTCCGCGTGGTGCCTCACTCCGCTGGACCCACCAGCAGCCCTCGAAAGTGGTGACAGTTTCACAGATCGCAGCCACCCCCAGAGATGGCGAGTTCTAATCTGAGTCCCCGTGGTGCCTCACTCCGCTGGACCCACCAGCAGCCCTCGAAAGTGGCGACAGTTTCACAGATCGCAGCCCCCCCAGGGATGGCGAGGTCTAATCTGAATCCCCGTGGTGCCTCACTCCGCTGGACCCACCTGCAGCCCTCGAAAGTGGCGACAGTTTCACAGATCGCAGCCCCCCACAGATGGCGAGGTCTAATCTGAATCCCCGTGGTGCCTTACTCCGCTGGACCCACCAGCAGCCCTCGAAAGTGGCGACAGCAGTTTCAGAGATCGCAGCCCACCCCCAGAGATGGCGAGGTCTAATCTGAATCCCCGTGGTGCCTCACTCCGCTGGACCCACCAGCAGCCCTCAAAAGTGGCGACAGTTTTACAGATCGCAGCCCACCAGCCCCCAGGGATGGCAAGGTCTAATCTGAATCCCCGTGGTGCCTCACTCCGCTGGACCCACCAGCAGCCCTCGAAAGTGGCGACAGTTTCACAGATCGCAGCCACCCCAGAGTCCCCAGACCCCAGAAATCCAACGCATTGAAAAAATCAAGACGGGGCTTTTTCGCATTTTTCGGCCTCTGGGGGCCCTCGCCGGTTTCCAGGACCGTCAAACAACGACTCAGGATGAAGAACCGGTCCTGGGGAAGGGGACGAGACTTCATTCTGGGGACCCCGTATCGAAAAAAACACGACATCGGATCTCTGGGTCTGGCCGCGCTCGAATTTTTTCGATGCGTGGGCCCCGGAGGTCCAGACCACTTCCCAGGGCCAGTTTTTCGTTCCGAGTCGTTTTTTTCACGCTCCCGAGGCCCGGCAATGGCCCCGGGGGCCTGCCGAAAACGGCCGACATCCCGCCGCTCCAACTTTTGTTTGAGCGTCGGATCTTTGGGTCCTCCTCATCCGCTTCCTCGTGGACCCAGAGATCCGATTTCGTGTTTTTTTCGATGCGGGGTGCCGGGAAGTCTCGACCCGTGCCCCAGGACCGGTTTTTCATCCTGAGCCTCGATTTTGGACGGTCCCCGGGCCCGGCGAGGGCCCCTAGAGATCCGAACACAGCGAAAGCCCTCCGTTTTGATTTTTTCAACACGTCGGACCTCTGGGTCCTCCTCCTCCCCTTCCTCGTGGAGGAGCAGATGATCCACGCCGCGCGCTCGAAGCTGAAGCCCAAGAAATGAGCGGAGAAGCCCGCAGCTCTGCACCCCCCCCCTTCCCGGCGCGCCAGCGGCGCGCAGCGGGCATAGGAAGGCGTTGCCTCTCTTCCGCGGGGGTGGGGCCTGGGCCTCCTAGATGGGGTCGGAGCAGATTGGGGCCGGAGGATCGCGCCGCATCTCCGATGCATCGCCGTGATGGGGCTCGACGTGGGGCCCGATTTGCTTCACGCGGACGTCGCCGATGCATCGCCAGTGCATCGCCGATGCATCGCCAGTGCATCGCCGATGCATCGCCGATGCGGCGCGATCCCGCGACCCCGTCTAGGAGGCCTCCATGGGGGGAGGTCCAGGTGGCGAGCGCCCCCTGCGCCCCCTGCGCCTCCCGCGCCCCCTCGCCGGGGTGAGGTCAGGAGCCACGATGGGTGGGGGGCAGGCATGCCCAGAGATCCGACGTGTTGAAAGAATCAAAGCGGAGGGTTTTCGCTGTGTTCGGATCTCCAGGGGTCCTCGCCGTGCCCGGGGACCGTTCCAAAAACGAGGCTCGGGAGGAAGAGCCGGTCCTGGGGCACGGGTCGAGACTTTTGGGGGCCCCGCATGGAACAAATCACGACATCGGATCTCTGGGTACGGTAGGTTCGTGTCGTGTCGACCAGCGGCGACCCCGCTGCGGGCGTTCAAGGTTGAACGCTGCCAGTGGCCCAGAATCGGCCTACACGGAACGATCGGGCGATCGGAAAACCGTCGATCGTTCAAGGTTGAACGATCGGTGCGGTGTCATAAACCATCGCCAGGGTCGTCACGACACAAACCCGCCGTAGGTGGGACGTATCGACCCCCAATTGCCCATTGATCGCAGACGGGGGCCCGAGAGCCCCAACCTGCCCAGGATCTTGCGGAGTCACGATCGGGGGCCTATCGCCGATCCGTGGGCGAGGCATCGCCGATTCCAGGTCGAGGTGTCCTCCCCCCTATGCCAGTCCCCCCCCGCCCATCGTTGCCCCTTCAGTAGGGTGCACGCGCAGGTGGGAGGGGCAGGAAGGGGGTGGAGGAGGGGGAGGAGGAGGAGGAGGAGGAGGAGGAGGAGGAGGAGGAGGAGGAGTGGGAACGGAATGGAATGGATCTATCGCGAAGCGAATCACACTTGACGCTGACCCTCTCTGAGCCCGCGGCGAAAAGGAAGGACTCGACGACGAACTCTTGATATTCCAGCGCTGAGAGAAACAGATCGAAGGGCATGACCATCAGACCTGACGGCTGAAGCTTACGGAACACGTAGATGCCGTAAATGAGTACCTCCAACACGCCACACCCCAGAATGAATCAGATACAGCAACGTTGTTCACTCCCTCACCCCATGCTGATACTGAAAATCTCCACCCGCCTTGCCAGACAAAGCGTATGACCCACATCGCGAGTCGATGTGACAAAGAGCCACGCATCTGCGCCGACATGCAAACCACAACACTTGGATAACGAGATGCGCAGAATACCCCTTGCTAGGGAAAAACCATTTGCCCAAGCACAACCATCCATTGAAGTACACCCAGGCGGGAGGCGTTGGGTCAGTGCACGTGGGCTCCCACTGTCCCTGCCGCCTGGGATGGATATCGAATAGACAGAGCAGGAACGTAAGAGCCAGAAGAATCTGTCCAGCATGCTGAAAGACACCACTGCGCAGCAACTCCCATGACACGAATCGGCTGTAGGTACTCCGCCCCGCCCCAGCAAACAAAACAGCTTGCAGAGCGAGGGCACGAACTGGTACACCCAGGCGGGAGGCGTTGGGTCAGTGCGCAAAGGCTCCCACTGTCCCTGGCGCCTGGGATGGATGCCGAAGAACACGTGCAGGAATGAAGCCCAGAATGATACGCGCAGCAAAACATAAGATAATGCTGTGCTGCAGCTCCCAGAAAGAAACACACCATACATCGATCGAAATTCGCTCCGTTTAGCCACTGGGACAACTGTCCCAAACCAAAGGGATTGACAACAGTTCAGCTGAGGTGAAATCGGCTCGATGCGGCTCTTATTCAATGATGTGCAAACACCACTGGTCATCGGGCAACCCCCAAGAGGGATCGCCTCCTCCACAGACCGCCCCACAATACCAATTCAAAAGACGAAGGATGCTACCCAGTGCCCCTCAAGCGCCGACGTGGAGGCACGGAGCTAGGGGTCCCATGGCAAGTGTGAGCCCAAATGGGTGCGACACGCGCCTCGGGCCCCCCTGTGCTTGAGGAGGAGGAGGAGTGGGAGGAGGGGGAGGAGGGGGAGGAAGAGGAGGAGGAGGAGGAGGAGGAGGAGGAGGACATGGAGTAGGGAGGGAGGGAGGGGGGAGGAGGAGGAGGAGGAGGAGGCGGAGGAGGAGGAGGAGGGGGAGGAGGAGGAGGAGGGAGGTGGGAGGAGGAGGAGAAGGAGGAGGTGACGATCATGGTGATGGTGATGGACACGTGCTGCTGCTGACAGCGATAATGATGATGATGATGCTGCTGATGACGACGATGGTGATGAAGATAATGGTGCTGATGATGTCGATGCTACCGATGATGCTGCTGTTGGCGATAATGATTACGATGGTAATGATGCTGATGCTGATGCTGCTGCCGATGATGAGAATGATGACGATGCTAAGGATTATGCTGATGATGATGAGTCTGGTTTCGATGATGATGATGCTGATGATGACGCTGATGATGGTGACACGGGTGATGATGGTGATGAGAATGGCGCTCCTGATGATGATGCTCATGATGATGATGATGATACTGATGATGATGATGATGATGATGATGATGATGATGATGATGATGATGATGATGACGAGGGGGATGATTATCATGTTGCTCGTGGCCATGCTGGTGATGATGATGTTGATGTTGACGTCGTTGCTGTTGTGTTGTGTGATTCCGTCGACGACGAGGACGCGGATTAAGATTAATGTGATGTTGTTGCTGATGATGGTGCTAATGATGATGATGATGCTGCTGATGATGCTGCTGATGATGATGACGACGATGATGATCGTGCTGATGATGGTCATGATGATGCTGATGATGGCGGCGGTGGCGATGCTGCTGCTGATGATGCTGGTGATGATGCTGGTGCTGATGCTGATGATGATTATGATCATGCTGCTGCTGATGCTGATGCTGATGTTGCTGATGATGATGACGATGCTGCTGCTGATGATGATGCCGATGACGATGACGATGGTGACGATGCTGACGATGCTGATGATGATGCTGCTGATGATGCTGCTGCTGATGATGATGACGATGATGCTGATGATCGTGTTGATGATGGTCATGATGATGCTGATTATGGTGGTGGTGGCGATGATGCTGCTGATGATGCTGGTGATGATGCTGATGCTGATGCTGAAGATGATTATGATGATGCTACTGCTGATGCTGATGCTGATGTTGCTGATGATGATGACGATGCTGCTGCTGCTGATGATGATGCCGATGACGATGACGATGGTGATGACGACGACGATGATGATGATGATGATGATGATGATGATGATGATGATGATGATGATGATGATGATGATGGTGCTGATGATGCTGATGATATTGATGCTGATGCTGATGCTGATGCTGATGCTGATGCTGATGGTGCTGCTGCTGATGGTGGTGGTGTTGATGATGATGATGATGCTGATGATGATGATGATGATGATGATGATGATGATGATGATGATGATGATGATGACGATGACGATGACGATGACGATGACGACGACGAGGACGGTCAGGAGGAGGAGGAGGAAGAGGAGAAGGACTCAGTGGTTTACTGGTGGCGAGGATGATGACCAGGAGGGGCAGGAGGATAAACAGGAGGGGCAGGAGGAGAAGCAGGAGGAGGAGGAGGAGGAAGGAGGAGGAAGAGGAAGAGGAGGAGGAGGAGGAGGAGGATGAAAAGGAGGAGGAGGAGGAGGCGGAAGGAGGAGGAGGAGGAGGAGGAGGAGGAGGAGGAAGGAGGAGGTCCGAGCCCATAGGTCGCACGCTTGCCTGAAGTCGCGCGCCGTGCTGTGGCGCGGAGGGCCTCGCTTGAAGGATAATCAACAAAGTTCACGGACGGTCCAGGGGGGGCAGAGGACCTCAGTGTGCATCTCCTGGACCTCCTTCATCCCTCCTTCTTTTCTTCTTTTCTTCTTTTCTTCTTCTTCCTCCATCCTTCCTTCTTGCTCTCCCTCCTCCTTCTGCTGCCTCCTCTTCCCTCCTCATCATTATTGCTTCCTCCTCCTTTCCCATCCCTCCTCATCCCTCCTCCTCCTTGTCCTCCTCTAGGCCCTGGGAGGGTCAGAAGATGCTCTTTTCAGCAGATTGCGCCCGAGGCACTCGTTCGCAGCTGTCGATCGCTAGATCCCACCCGATCCTCCTCCTCCTCCTCCTCCTCCTCCTTCTCCTCCTCCTCCTCTCCTCCTCCTCCTCCTCCTCCTCCTCCTCCTCCTCCTCCTCCTCCTCCTCCTCCTCCCCTCCTCCTCCTCCTCCTCCTCCTCCTCCTCCCTCCTCCTCCTTCTCCTCCTCCTCCTCCCCCCCCTCCTCCCCCTCCTCCTTACCCTCCTCCTCCTCCTCCTCCTCCCCCTCCTCCCCCCTCCTCCTCCTCCTTACCCTCCTCCTCCTCCTCCTCCTCCTCCTCCTCCTCCTCCTTCTCCTTATCCTCCTCTCTCCTTCTCCTTTTCCTTCGCCTTTTTTTGTTATTGTTCTTCTTCTTATTCTTCTTCTTCTTCTTCAGAATATCATTCTCCTTCTCTGTATGCTTCTCCTTCTACTTTTCCATCCCCTAGCTCCCTCGTCCCTTCTCCGCCCTCCTCGTCCCTACCTTCTCTCTCCTCTCCCTCTCATTCTCCTCCTCGTCCTCCTCCTCCTCCTCGTCCTTCTCTCCTCCTCGTCCTCCTCTCCTCCTCGTCCTTCTCTCCTCCTGGTCCTTCTCTCCTCCTCGTCCTCCTCGTCCTTCTCTCCTCCTCGTCCTCCTCGTTCTCCTCCTCGTCCTCCTCCTCGTCCTCCTCTCCTTTC